ACCTAGCACATGGCATCTTCTCCATGAAAGAGAGGGACAAAGTATGGGCAAACCCCTCTGCTTAGGCAAAGTCCCAACAGCTCCTTCAAGCCCATGCAGAGCAGAAAGGACCTTGGCTTCTAGGGACTTCGCCCATACATGCAGAGTAAACTGAGTGGTGTTCGATTTTTCTACTTCTGAAAAGAGGCAGCATGTTGTGATATCTGTCCTTGCTCTACCAATGGCTTTCATATGCAAACTTGGGCGACTTATGTCACTGAATGAAAATCAACCCAGGAGTAAATAGCATCCGTTTAATTTTTTGAGCCAAAATGTGAAATTCAGTGGTGCTGAGAACTGCGGTGAAAGTGACATGCAAATGTAAGGGCACCAAGCAAGGGAGATAAGAGCCAGTGGCAAAGATTGGAACCAGTCTGCTAGTCAGTGGTTTTCGCAAATGAACACAATTTTCTTGCTGAGGAGGGGGAATGCTTGCAGCAAGAAAGTCTGTGCCTGCATTTATAGTGGTGCATAGAGTTCAGCCCCACTAGCCCTGGTATAAATAGTATCATAGCTGGTGAGACATCGTTTCCTTAGATATACACCCTACCAACTCTTCATGTGCCCAGGCACTCTGTGTGCCCAAGCAGTGCCTGGCTACCTTGCTATTTTCTGACTGCAGACTGCTATTTTTAGCAGTGTAGTATTTGGCTTCCAGAGCCGTTCCATGCCACAATGAAAGGTTCTGGCAGTGGGGAAAGGCCCTGGCAACTTCCCTTGCTGGAGCCTTTCTCATCCATGGGGAGGAGCTGCCTCCCCCCTACCAGAGCCTGTCACTACATCAGGGTATGTCTACACTACAGCGCTAATTCGAACTAACTTAGTTTGAATTAGTTAATTCGAACTAAGCTAATTCGAACTAGCGCATCTAGAACTAAAAACTAGTTTGAATTAGCGTTTTGCTAATTCGAACTAGCGCGTCCACACTGATTGGACGCAGGGGGGCATTTAAGGGCAGCTGAAACCGGTTCTGGCAGGGCATCAGGTCAGTAGTTGCTTTGTGTGGCTGCTGTCTGAGGCTATCTGAGGCTCGAGCTTAAAGGGACCCCCCCTGGACAGCCGGTTCTCAGCTTTTCCTGCTTGCTTGCCAACCTCGCCAAGGGACAGCAAAGCGTTGGTCTCTGTGC